GTGGTATTTTACATCTTCACATGTGAAATGTTTTTCTCAGTCTAAGCAGGATGAGGATGTCTCTGCCAGCCGTTTTGAAGATAACGAAGAGCTGAGATACTCCCTACGATCCATTGAGAGGCATGCTCCGTGGGTTCGGAATATTTTCATTGTCACCAATGGGCAGATTCCCTCTTGGCTGAACCTTGATAATCCTCGAGTGACGATAGTCACACACCAGGTCCATGACTTTCCATGTATCACAAAGCTGTGGTTTCTTTCCGGTCACTCACTGCTCCTTTACCTATCCCTCATTTCATTCCCCTTACCCTCACCCTCCCCACCTCCATCCCCTTCATTCTTCTTCTCATCTCCCTTCTTTCCAAAAACAAACCCAAAACAATTCTTATTTGCCCTCTTTTTCTCTTGCCTTTTTGTGTTGTCGTTTGCTTCAAAGGATGTTTTTCGAAATTTGAGCCACTTGCCCACCTTTAGTTCACCTGCTATTGAAAGCCACATTCATCGCATCCAAGGGCTGTCCCAGAAGTTTATTTATCTGAACGACGATGTCATGTTTGGGAAGGATGTGTGGCCAGATGATTTCTATAGTCACTCCAAAGGTCAGAAGGTGAGTGCCTAAGACGAAGGGATGCCTAGCTTAGAAGTCACTTAGAAGTTATAAACAGTAGGTCATGAAATCAAGTATATGTACTAATCAGTTTTAAGTGCTAAACTCAGGAAGTTAATAATTTGGGAGTACAGAAACTGCTCCCTAGTAGTTTTTTACTTTCCTGCACTGTCAGACACCCTTCAGAACCCACCTTCCAAATTTTCTATGACAATAAAAGCAGAAAAAAGTAAAATCACTATGAAATACGAAGTCGTGGTTAGAACATCAGCAAAATGGCCAGGATAGTGAGCTCAGTTTTCTGTTTACAGCTCTGGATGAAATTTTACTTAAGGCAGCGGTCTCACTCTGGCTTTGCGAGGCATGATGAGCAAGTGGCTGTGAGCACAGAGCCTGGAGCAAAGGTTGAGAATGGTCCTGGGCAGTGACTAGATGTGGGTTTCCTGTCTGCAAAGTGTGGAAGCTAGGAGTATCCCTGGGCACTGTTGGAGGGAGTCAGTGATGAGTTGGAGACTTAGTCATAAGCTTTTAAGTGCCAGAATCCTGCAGGTGGAAGTGCTAATTGCACAAAGCTACTTTTACTATTGCTGTTTATGCTGCCCCAGTGTGCTCATCCCCTGTTCACTTGCCTCCTCGTGTGTGTGTGGGGCAGCCACGCCGAGCTGCGGCTTGGCAGGGGAGATGCACGGAATCAGGGACTGTGGACGGTGATTTCTGTGCAGGTAGGTGTGCCCTGGGTTCAGAGGAGTGGGAGCTCAGCTGAAATCGGCCAGAGATGAATTCCCATCTAAACTGAAGTGAACTTTGAAGAACAAGAGGGCTTAACTACAAGAGGAAAGACGTTCCAAGTAGACAGGGCATGCAGAGGCATTGAGTGCATTTTTAAAAAAGTAATTTAATTTAAAAAATCACCATGTACCATGCACTCATTTTGAAAGCAGGTGAGTTCACAACTCAGAACACTGCTAATTATCACAGGACCGTATGCACAGAGATAAGGATATTGAGAGTTCATCTGCTGCTTATCTCAGCCTTGGGACAAGATTATATGTAAATACATTCAGGAGTTAATGAGAGTTGTTAACAGAGAAGTAGTGACTTGTGTGATATACTTTCCACCTGCTTTGGCACATTTTTTATTCACATTCAAGTCTGATGTGTTGCTATTTTATTTCAGAATATGTTATAAGACCATGTGAAAAACTAATCCATGAGTTGTCCTTGTCTCCTTTCCTTGAGTAATGGAAAAGAGTAAATGTGCTCAGTAAGAATCATCAACAGAGCAGGACTTTGCAAACTACTGCAGGTACTGCAGACTTAAGACAGTAGTATATGCCTCATGGATGCAGACAGCCCAGTGAAAATTGTAACCTCTTCTAGAGGCTCAGTTTCTTTTCTTTCTTCTTCCTTTTTTAAAGGGAATCCTAGTTTGATTCCACTTGATTGGAAAGTGTCAGAAACAATTTTATTTTCTTTCTGACTTTCATAGGTGTATTTGACATGGCCTGTGCCAAACTGTGCTGAGGGTTGCCCAGGTTCCTGGATCAAAGATGGCTATTGTGACAAGGCTTGTAATAATTCAGCCTGTGATTGGGATGGTGGTGACTGCTCTGGTAAGGGTGTGCTCACATGTACTTTGTTCATGTTTATGGACACTTTTTCATTTTTTTTAGCGTTTATTTTTGAGAGAGCACATGAAAGTTGGCGGTGGGCAGAGAGAGAGGGGATAGAGATCCTAAGCAGGCTCCATGCTGACAGCAGCGAGCCCAGCGCAGAGCTTGAACCCACAAACTGCAAGATCATGACCTGAGCCCAAGTCAGACACTTAACTGACTAAGCCACCCAGGCGCCCCTAGATGTTTTTTCATTCTTAGTCATTATTGACTATGTAGTGACTTAAACATTCTGCTTGTATGAAAACAATCAGTAATCCATAGATTCTGGAGATCGTGGGGCTAGTGGCCCCATGTAGATCAGTTTTTTCATATTCTCCATTGTTGGGGGCATATTGCCATGCTGGCCCTGCACTTGAAAATGCCTTTTATTATTTAAAATATGAGAATCAGGAATAGCCTTAATTATGTAAACTCAAGAACAAGAATCACTCTGGTCCTTGTAGGAGCTCACAGCTGGTGGCTTTCAGTGGCAGCTTGCTGTTAGTAACTAAAGAGAAAGATCTTCTCTCTTCAGCATCCCTCCTCTCTCTTACATGGTTATGTGTACACTTTTTGATAATAACGTTTACATTTGTTGACTGCCTTTCAGTTTATAAAACATTATTCAGATGTTTTATAAAACATTATTCAGATGAATTTCTTAAGTCATCTAAGGAAGAGAGAATATGTGCACAGGTATCATCCCCATATTCCATACGCGGAAACAGATTTGGACAAGTGTTGAGTATTAGAAAAAACAAAGCTTTAAGTTGTAGTCTGATCAGATCTGTCTGATACACTTTGAAAAATATAAGGAGCTGCAGTGAGAGAATGCAGAGGTGCCCAGTGGATCTGTGCAGTCCAGAGAACCCCCTGGGGCAAGTTTGTACTTCAGGGTTGCACAGCTAGTAAGTGCCAAGGCCTGGTCATCCCATGCCCATTCCCCTGTCAAGTGATGTCCCCCTTTCAGTTTGTTTTCTTCTTAAGGTACATGAAATCTTGTAAAGAATGGGGTGAACCTTTTCTGACTAAAATATAGGCATTAATCTCGATAGCACTATTGAGAAAGGAGGAACTGCCCTTTTTTCAAGATGATTAGCACAACAGGATTCTGTTTTCCTCCTCTCTCTACAGGTAACAGTGGTGGGAGTCGCTACGTCGCAGGAGGCGGGGGTACTGGGAGTATTGGAATTGGACAGCCCTGGCAGTTTGGCGGAGGACTAAACAGTGTCTCTTACTGTAATCAAGGATGTGCTAATTCCTGGCTTGCTGATAAGTTCTGTGACCAGGCTTGCAATGTCTTATCCTGTGGGTTTGATGCTGGCGACTGTGGGCAAGGTATACTGCCATAAAAACACACTTAAAATAAGGGGATCAAAATCCTTGATAAGTAGAGGGGAGTTTGTATTGTTGTTATTTAAACTAATTACTCTCTATGTATTCCTCACCGGCGCATCCTTGCATTCAAACTACCAGTAAGTGAAAAGTAAGAGGACACAGATCTTTAAAAAACAGTAGATACTAGAGCTGCATCTTTCCCTGTTATTGTTCCAGTCTGGCTGATTTTGTACTAAGCAGGTATACCTTTGTTGAAAATATATGGTAAAGGTTTAATTTAGAAACAATAAAAAGAAACCAATAATATACTAAATAAGAATGACTTAAATACTGGATTTTTTTTTTTAAAGTGTTTGTTTATTTTGAGAGAGAGAGATAGAGGGAGAGAACAAGCAGGCAGAAAGAGAGAGAGAATCCCAAGAAGGCTCCACCTTCAGCACAAAGCCTGATGTAGGGCTTGGTCCCACTACCCTGGGATCACAACTTGAGGTGAAATCAAGAGTTGGACGCTCAACCAACTGAGCCACCCACGTGCCCCTGGATCTTGTTGATAGCTTATCAGTGGAGGTTGTTTGGGCAGAATGTCATACTTTTACAAATGGACACAAAGATGAAAGTTGATCACTGAAATTTGCCATATCTCTGTAGTAAGTTAGACTCTGCATTTTGTGTTGATAATAGTAATTGCTTCAGATAGTAAAATGAGCCCTATAACACTATCTCTTGTGTTAGAATGTTTGACTATTTTGAAGTCAATTTAAAGTCATTCTTAGAAAGTGAAAACTCAAACCCTCAGAATTAAAGGAAAAGAAGGGGAAAATGCCTTGTTTTTAAAGTCATGTTTGTGTTTTTTCCTCTAGATCATTTTCATGAATTGTATAAAGTAACACTTCTCCCAAACCAGACACACTATGTTATTCCAAAAGGTGAATGCCTGCCTTATTTCAGCTTTGCAGAAATAGCCAAAAGAGGGATTGAAGGCGCCTATAGCGACGACCCAATAATTCGACATGCTTCTATTGCCAATAAGTGGAAAACGATCCACCTCATAATGCACAGTGGAATGAATGCGACCACAATACATTTTAATCTCACATTTCAAAATACAAATGATGAAGAGTTCAAAATCCAGATAATAGTAGAGGTTGACACAAGAGAGGAACCCAAAGTGAATTCTACAACCCAGAAATCTTACCAAAATTTGGTTAGCTCCACAACACTTCTACCAGAGGCAGAAATCCTGTTTGAGGATATTCCTGAAGAAAAACGCTTTCCAAAGTTCAAGAGACATGATGGCAACACAACAGGCGGATTCCAAGTGGAGATGAAAATTCCCCGAGTGAATATTTCACTCCTTCCAAAAGAGGCCCAGTTGAGTCTCAGTAACTTGGAGTTGCAACTAGAACGTGGAGACATCACTGTGAAAGGGTACAACCTGTCCAAGTCAGCTTTGCTGAGATCTTTTCTGAAGAACTTACCAGATGCTGAAATAAAAATAAATGAAGATATAATAACAGATGAAAGAAATGACAGTGTAGAGGCCCCGCTGGAAAAACAGGTTCACAAAAGCATCTTGCCATATAGTTTGGGCACATCTGAAAGATTACAGAATTCAACATTTCCAGCAGCAACAATAAAAGTGAATGGCCACTACCAGAGTCAGAATCCACCCCTGGACTTAGAAATGGAAGGCAAATTTAGATCTGAAATTCTGACCCAAGATATAACAGGCGGAAGTGTATCAAAAGAAAAGCTCTCACCTCGAACTGTTCCACTGGAAGACCAGATGACAAAAGAAAAGAAAATCACAGGGAAAGAAGGAGAGAAACACAGAATGGAGGAAAATGTGAACAATTACATAGATGTTAATGAAGTATTACCTGGAAGAAAACTGCAGCATCACACAGACGGTTACCTGGGCTTTTTGCCGTGGGAGAAAAAAAAGTATTTCCAAGATCTTCTTGATGTAAGTTACATCCAGCCTATTCCTTCCTATGCGCAGGAAAAAAAATAACCTTGTAAGTAGTAACTATAATAGATGCCATTTATTCAAGACTTCCTGTGCCAACCATTGAACTAACTAAATGCTTTTTCTTACATGGTTTAATATAATTGTCCCAATACCCTTAACATAAAAATACCTTAAAAGGTTGTCTACTGTCATGATCCCCATGCTATGGTTTAGGAAACTGAGTGAATGAGTCAGGCAGTTAGCCAGGGGTAGGCCCTGTGTAAGTAGTGGGGAAGGGATGGTATCTTATCTTCACTTGGTAGGTTATGATTTCAAAAAATGCTTTTGTGTATGTTGTATGAGTCAGATCTGATATTTCTCCAATTTTACTGATGGAAAATACCCCAAGGTGCAGATAAATTCATTAGCTTCCAGTGTGAGCCAAGCCTCGAAGTTTGAGTGCTCACTCTCCTATACAACGGCTTCCATGGTGTCATGGTGTCATGGTGTCATTTGTACATCTGCCAAGTGCTGGCACTGTGGTCACTGCTGGGGAATGCAAGACTATTAGAACAAGCTCGTGGAGACTCAAGGGGCAAGCTGGGAGGACAGATTTGTGTATAAATAATTGTAGCAAGGTGATGAGGGTCTCTTGAGGTATGGGCAAGGAGTCCAAAGGGAAAAATTCCTTAACTCTACTGAGAGGTATTGGGGAAGGCATCGTGAGGAAGTGCTCTGTAAGCTGACCTTTGAAGGGTGTGTAGGAGCTGACACACCAAGAAAAACACTGTTGTCTAGGCTGGATTATGAGCAGAGCACAGTCATGAGTGGATGTCCGGCTGGGAGAAAAAGAGGATGAAGAAGGGAACTTATTAATTTCATTGTCTTTGGAAAGTATTTGTTCCTCACACAGTAGTCCTTTACTAATCGTTGAGTGAGGGACTGCAGAGTTCTTGCCTGTGATGATTTCCTCACTTTTCCAAGCCCTTTTCTTTATATTTTAAATGTTTATTTATTTTGAGAGGGTGAGCAAGCAGAGGAGGTGCAGAGAGAGGGAGAGAATCCTGAGCAGGCTCCACACCGTCCGTGCAGAGCCTGATGTGGGGGCCTGAATCCATGAACCATGAGATCATGACCTGAGCCAAAACCAAGTTGGAAGCTTAAGTGACCGAGCCACCCAGGCACCCCTTTATTTTAAGTTACAAAAGTACTGTAGTCTAGTGGTAAAAATTGCAAGCAATCCAAAAAATATACAATGAAAAAGGGAATGATCTGCATCGCTCCTTCCTTAATCCCCCTATTTGAAATCATCTCTATGAAGAGTTTTGTGGGTACTCTTCCAGTGTTTTTATATAGATGTGCAAACATACAAACTTTATAACCTGTTTTGCAATGGTGAAATGACACTATTTATATTGCTTTACCAATGTCTGTTGATTTAGTACTGAGCAAACCCATGCCAGTGTCATTGTGTTATTTAGCAGCTGTGTTTGTTCTGCAGTTAAAAAATAGTGTTGCAATACATATTCTTGTACATATATCTTACTCTTGAGGAAGTTTTTACTTCTGTGGGTAGAATTGCTAGGTTACAGTAAAATTTAGCTGTGTCCTTCTGAAACGCTGTACCACTTTATACTTCCACAGTATATAATACAAGAGTGCTTGTTTCTCCACAGGCTAACCAACAACAGTTAATGTCCATCTTTGGTTTGTTTTGACCAGTTTGAGAAGCAAAAATATTTTCTATTTGTAAAGTGTGTTCATATATTTTGCAAATATTCTTTACTCATTCACTCAGTTCTGATTCTTACTGGTTTTTGACAGGGCTCTTTAGTTATAATATTAACACTATTATATGGTGAAACAGTTTTTTAGTCCTTGTGTTCAGAAATCAAGTGCTTACTGCTTTGATGTCATCACTAGAAACAACTTGATATTGATCAAGTTATCAGTGGCACCTGGGTGGCTCAGTTGGTTAGGCAGTGTCCAGCTCTTGACCTCAGCTCAGGTCATGATCTCATAGTTCTTGAGTTTGAGCCCCACATTGGGCTCCGTGCTGACAGTGTGGAGCCTGCTTGGGATTTTCTCTCTCCCTCCCTCTCTGCCTCCCCCTCCCCCACTTGTGCTCTCTTTCTCACCCAAAATAAATAAGCCTTTTTTTTTTTTTAAAGAAAGTGCTATCAAATGTGTTTTTAAATAAATTTTCTAAATACTGCATTGAATTGGCTATGAAATTTCATGCTCAGTGACTAGTCCTTGAAGAATACCCTATAAATAGAATTCCATCATACAACGGTTGTTCACCAGCCAATAGTGGTGATACATTCACTGAAATCCAGTTTAGTCCTGCACTTGGGATTTTTTTTTTAGTGTTTTTGTTTATTTCTGAGAGAGAGAGAGAGCCAGCGAGCAAGCAGGGGAGGGTCAGAGAAAGAGGGAGGCACAGAATCCGAAACAGGCCCCAGGCTCTGAGCTAGCTGTCAGCACAGAGCCTGATGCGGGGCTCAGACCCACAAACTGCGAGATCATGACCTGAGCCAAAGCCAGACACTTAACCAACTGAGCCACCCAGGCGCCCCACACTTAGGATCCTTAAAGTGACCTGTTAGCACTCATTTCATTTGCCATAGTTAGTGGCTAGTTACATAAAATAGTACCTTTATCTGTCAACAGAGTACACACTTGTGCACTAAACACAATGCTGTGTTACATGGAATTCTCTTTTCAGGAAGAAGAGTCATTGAAGACACAGTTGGCATACTACACTGATAGCAGATACACTGGGAGGAAACTGAAAGACACATTTGCAGATTCCCTCCGATATGTAAATAAAATTCTTAACAGCAAGTTTGGATTCACATCTCGGAAAGTCCCTGCGCACATGCCTCACATGATTGACCGAATTGTTATGCAAGAACTCCAGGATATGTAAGTCTTGACTGTTTGAGCTGCTTCCACATGCTCAGAGCTAAGTCTGCTTAACATGGATACTTTTGCTGTGCTACATGTATGGCTCTAATATTTGATGACTGATGTCTTGAAGGTTCATCTAAATAAGTGAGAAAGAAAAAGATTCTAACTCCACAAATGTTAGAATGTATATATATTTTTTTGGTTGAATCAATTTTTAATGTTTTTTTTTTTTTTTTTTTTTTACAAATAGTTTATTGTCAAATTAGTTTCCACATAACACTCAGTGCTCATCCCCACAAGTGCCCTCCTCCATGCCCATCCCTCCTCCCCCCCACATCCATCAGTCCTCAGTTTTTGTCAGCATTCAAGAGTCTCTCATGGTTTGCCTCTCTCCCTTTCCTCTACCATTTCCCCCCTTCTTCACCCCCTTGTTCCTCAGTTAAGTTCCTAGAATATATTTTAATGTAAATTAATGTCTATATATGTTTTAAATGCCCAGAGCTCACTCTATGTTATGTTTGTACAGGTTTCCCGAGGAATTTGACAAGACGTCATTTCATAAAGTGCGCCATTCTGAGGATATGCAGTTTGCCTTTTCGTATTTTTATTACCTCATGAGTGCAGTTCAGCCACTGAATATATCTCAAGTTTTTGATGAAATTGATACAGACCAATCTGGTATCTTATCTGACAGAGAAATCCGAACACTGGCTACCAGAATTCATGACCTGCCTTTAAGTTTGCAGGTGTTGTATTTTTTCCCCCTAAACTTTCCCTTTTTCTCTTACATATTTCAGTATAATGCAGGTAAAGGTAATTCCTTTAATTATTCAATGAAGGTATTCACAACTAGTCCGTTTTTAGTGCCAAAATTAAAACCAAACTTGAGGTTCATGTTTTATGAGATTGTTTTTAGGCTTTATGTAGGCATTGCTATCGTATTATCTGGAGAAGAGCCAGACTGTCCCTGCATATAAGACTATTGTGACAAGTTCACTCAGGAGCTTCAGGTGTGGCCAACTGGAGTTCTGTCTCATTCAGGCCTAGGTTGTTGCACAGTCCCCACTCTCACCACATCCTCTAGTCCCAGGAATGAGAGACTCGCTAATGGAGAGTGCCAAAATGACACCTAACCACAGGACATCCCATCTCGGGATTCCACTGACCATTCTGTATAAAATAGAGCCTCCTAGTCCAAGATGTTCTACATCTGGATGAAGATGAAATACCTGTGTTTGTATTATCTCATTCTGTTCTTTTTAAGGTGTTTTTATTTCAAGAATCATATAGTCAAACTCTCTTTGAAGACAGCAGTTTAATTAAAAAACTTTTTTAAAGTTTATTTTTGAGAGAGAGAGAGAGAGAGAGACATGAGCGGGGGAGGGACAGAGAAAGGGAGACACAGAATCCAAAGCAGGCTCCAGGCTCCGAGCTCTCAGCCCAGAGCCCATAAACTGCTAGATCATGACCTGAGCCTTGAAGTCAGCCCCTTAACCAACTGAGCCACCCAGGTGCCCGGAAGATAGCATTTAAAGAAGTTTTAGAGATGTTTACATAATTTTTATTTTTTAAAACCACAATTATTACTTGTATTATACCTAGGTTTATCCTTTTATTTTGCTTTGTTAGGATTTAACTGGTCTGGAACACATGCTAATAAATTGCTCAAAAATGCTTCCTGCTAATATCACTCAGCTCAGCAGTGCTCCACCAACTCAGGAAGCCTACTATGATCCGAATCTGGTAAGTGGCATGAGTTCCTTTATGTAAAACAGAAAATATACTTCAAACAGTAGAAGCAGGCTCTATATTTATCTTTGGCAGAAAATGGAAGTTCAGACAATCCAGAATCATTTATATCTTGCTTCTCCTACCTAGTGGATTTTAAACTAACATTGAGATTGGTTGCTAATATTCTGTAACCAGACATCTGTTCACTAAAGATAGCAGAAGATAGCCAATGAGAATACTTCAGAGAGTTTTGCTGGTGTTCACACTCATTCAGGACTTCTTCCCCCCACCTCTACTTTCTTATCTGTCCTTCACGGTCTCTCCTCCTCCAGTTTTCTTTCTAAAGCTTATAAACTTTGGATTCTTAGTAAGACTTTACAGTTAACCAAACCCCTGC